AAATCACAATGCCATCAGAATTTTAAAAGCAATCATTCGCTATATCGCTATATGCGATTACTGTACATATTAATAGGTCTCATAAGCACTGTGCAGAATCTAACGATAACATTATTCCAACGTGATCAAATTCGATTGCAAAATGAGAGCAAAATGAAAAGCGCTTCGACATATTGAAAGATTCTCAGCTAACGCTTAAGGCGTCTGGTTGGAGACTTGGGTTGGAATGATAATGAATTTAACAACAACAGTAACTTAATAACAACAGTATGATCACTTCATCAAACAAGTATCACAATTAATGTGTTAACAACGAAAATTTTAAGAACTTCATCAATTCTAGCATATAAACTTTTCAAAAAAGTGGTGCAAGTGAATATATGAAGAAGAAATAGGCATGAAGAAGCAATCAAAGCAATTAATATTTATCCTTGATTATCTCTGTTTCACTGTGATATCTGCACTCATGTTTTGTTTTGTCTTCATTCATATGACATTACTTGAAACATCTCAGTCGTGAACATTACATTATTGTTTCTAAAAATATTCATTTGGAGCGACTTATTTGAATTAGGATTTTTCAGTGATCTTTTGCATGTCTTTGTCATTATTTGTTAGTGGCGATATTGTGTTGTGAATCTTTTTTTTCATTACTGTAATCATGCGGCCTCTTTTCAAAGCGTACATTTCGAATGAATATCGTCACAAAAGAGCATTTGACTGATGATTAATCTAACTGAATGAGTTCATTCCGCTTTTCGCAATGAGTAAAACGTTCGATCAACTGAGAGCACCTATCCAATCGTTCGAGTGAACAGTGTTTGTTATGTGATGGTTTAATGCTATGTGTTAATTAAAATTAATCGACTTCTCATTGGTGCATCATAAAATCGCTCTCTACTGTGGTTGGTGGTTGGGAAATGCGCTCGTTTCAATATCTTTTCAAGTTCATTCCAGGATCGATACGTTATGGTTAGTTTACAGTGTAAAATGAGACCATCTCAACTATAAATCTAAGATGGTCTCATATTGGGCAATTCAGCAACTTCCTAGAATAAGTGGATGGACGGTTGAGGCGAACAATGGCTGGTTTGTGGATGGTTTAGACAGACAACGGATCCATGTGCTCAAAAAGCAGTAAATGAACTCGACGACGTGACGAATTGGATTCATCATTCAATTTGCACATTCAATCATTTCAATGAAGTAAATTTGTTCGCATTGAAAGTTTTTTTTTCATTTCATTTCTTAAACCAACTCATTGAAAATTCATAACTTCTCGCTACCAATAAAGAAAAAGAGTATCCACGCTCCACTAAGAGAATGTTGTGGGGAATTGTTGAACTTGCAAGCGCACATTAAGAGCATGAAAGCTTTTGATGAAAATATAATGCACTTTACTTAGAAAAGTACGATGAGCGTGAAAATAATTCACAATTGCGTTCTATGGAATCTTTCAATAATTCACATCTCAAAAAATCTGGTATCCAAGCGAACTGATTTCAAATTATGACTACGAACAGTGTTTAGTCAGTTTCCATTGCAAACAGTAATTGATAAAAGATTATTTTCTTCGAAATGAACTGGAGAAATGAATATCTTTCAGTTGATCGTCATGAATTCTTTGGAGAATAAAATTTTAAACAATGCAGTCGTCGAGCATTTGTTCATTAGGTCACCGTTTAATTGGCTGATAGAAGGCTAATTAATCGTTCCCTTCGCAGGATCACCGCAATGCCTACTGATGCGTTTGGTGATGTTTTTGTGTGCTCTTAATTGACAAGTTCACTCCTCTTAGTCAAGACTAGTGTTTAGACGGAATCCCGAGAATCTCGAATAGCGGCTTTTGAATTTCGATCCCGATCGCAGGATTGAAGAGATTTCCGAGATTCATAACAAAAGTCATTTTGTGCAAAGTTGGTAGTGTACCCATCATGAATGGAGCATAAGTCATCTGATGATCTTATACGAGCTCAATTTGGGCAAAACCGGAGTGAAATACATGACCTGTGCAATGCACTGAAATTGTTCAAAATTTTCTCTTCGACATATTGATTTGTTCAAAACAGGTAACATGCTAGAGTTTTCTATGGATGCACTGAGGAAATTGAATACGAATACGGCTGATGATCTCTTGCGAGCACTTCTGGTGAGGATTAACGAGCGCAGAATACCAACTTTAATGCAGTGAATGAGATAAACGAACGATCGTGATCACATTCGAAAGGGAACAAATTGAATGGGGTAGAGGATCGTGGAGGAAAATATTATGGAACTGGCAAAGAGTTTATCTTTGAGATGTTTCAGGTGAGCAGTGAATATGATGATAAGGCATTGTTTTGTTTTGTTGAATTCATTGAATTTGTTGAGATTTGTTGAATAAACTGTCTTATGATCAATTATGAACACACTGGTTCAAAGAAAAATGTATTAAACGTGTCACTCTTGCATATTTCAGAAGTTGTTTTTCATCTCGGCATTCAATCGTGTACCAAGGATTGGGAAAATGGTAGGATTTTGCAAACTCTTTTCAGACCGAATGTAAAAGAGTTTCAGCTTATTGCTAATGCAGTTCTGGATGAGTTAGGCTCCCATCAGTATTCAATTTTTATGAATGCTTGTTGATTAGTTAAATAATCGTAACGATGTGGAACTTTTCTCCCGAAAATGTTCAAATTACATTAGGTGGCCTATTCCTTTCAGATTCTTACCCGCTCATCCACTTGTTCCATTTCGAGAACAGATAATATGCTGATCAATTTGGTCTCTTCCATAACTTTGAGTCTACTAGAATATAGTCGAACTTAATCAGCCAGTTAATAATCAGTCAAATGCTCAAAAAATCATTTACTCATCATGTTCGTTAACAAACACTCAATTGAAGAATTTAATGAAGTGTTTTGATGATGTGAAACGATGGTAACTTTTTAAACAATTGTGGTCATCATTCAAAAAGCTTTCGTCTGCTCTATGCCGAAGTCACTTGTTGTTTCTTTTCCGATTGAGAACCGGCTGCCGATATACGTTCCGGCGTCGTTCTCTTTATTATAAAAGAGCGAGCAATCTTTGCGGTCTTTCCAGACTTCGACGACGCTGAAGATTCGTCTGCCGATTTATTATCCGAATTTGAATCTGCTGCTTCCATCACAGAAACGACATCTGAGTCGCCGCTGCTTGAGCTTGAGGTCATGCTGCTTGAGCTTGAGGTCTTGCTGCCCGAGCTGGAGGTCATGCTGCTTGAGCTCGAGGTCACGCTGCTTGAGCTTGAGGTCTTGCTGCTCGAGCTGGAGGTCATGCTGCCTGAGCTCGAGGTCATGCCGCCTGAGCTTGAGGTCATGCCGCCTGAGCTCGAGGTCACGCTGCTTGAGCTCGAGGTCATGCCGTCTGAGCTGGAGGTCATGCCACCTGAGCTTGAGGTCATGTTGCTTGAGCTTGAGGTGACTACGCGCGAACCCGAGCCGCTTGTAATAATAGTTGAGTTACCAGAGTAATCACCTTTTATCACGGTTGTTACGTTTCTTCGCATTGTGACATTCACTGAGCCAGATGGTTCGGAAGTCATAGGTATATCTAGGCCAGTTATGTTCACACCGGGGAACAGGATATTCAATACATCTCTTATGTTTATGTTGGGGAAATGACGAAGTATGTCTATGATAGATGGAATACTGTTAGGTCCGTTACCGATCGGTCCAAAAGGAATTATTGTCGTGCAACCACCTATACCATATTTCATCATGCTGCTCATAAATTGCTGAACGGCTATGATGGTCTTCATATCGATGCGATCACATATGATCATCTGATTAATGAAGTCAATGAATACCTGCATAACTTGCTTCTGATGATCATCTGCTGAGCGCTTCAGTTTATCTAGTAGTTCATTCAAGATTGTTGTTAATTGAACGTGGAAATTGTTCATAACGGTGACGTTGACCGACGGTTCGCTACTGCATGTGCTCAGTTTGGTTTGCAGAATGTCTATTTGAATCTGCATATTCGATATCGTTTCTTTATAGGTATCCACTACGACGGTATATTCTTGGTGGTCCTCTTCTATCTGATGGTACGCTTGCTGTAACTGCCAATCACAGGTGTTTAATTCGTCAGTTATATAATCAATTTGATCTTGCATCTTTCCTATAAGATCTTCGTCACGCTGGACAGTGGTTCTTAGATCAACTATTTCTGTATTTTGTTGCTGTATTTTGACGTCTTTTTGTTTTATAATAATTGTGAATTGATCATTTTCGATACTGCATCTTTCAATATCCGAATTGCATTGTTCGGCGGCATCTCGACATTTATTGAGCGCTTTCCGGAACTCATCTTTCGCGTTGACTTGATTATCTATGTTAGTGTCTAGTTCGTCAATTATCTTCTGTAACGTTTGCAGCTTCTGTTCGAGTTCGATTCTGATATTAATTTCGTCTTGCTTGATATCGTTGCACTCCTTGAGTTCGTCTTGAAGGCCTCCAATCTGAAGTCTGGCGTCTGCTAATGTAGCTTCAGTGGTTTCTACTTGGACGTTTAGCTTATCAATTTGTCCTCTTATTATTCGAACCTTACTTTCGGCAACTTGTCTAGCTTTACTTTCACTTTCTAGTTCATTAGTTAGCGCATCAATTTGTTCCTTATATTGTTGCACCTTGATTTCCAGATCTGCTGCATAATCCTGTTGCTTTTGGAATTCGTTCTTCATATCGTTCAGTTTGCCATTGATTAATCTGATTTGATATTCGGCGTCTTCTTTGTCACGTTTCAGTATTCGAATTTGTCGCATAAACTCCTCAACTTGCTCCTTCACTCGCGTCAGTTCTTGTTCTACCTGTTCACGAGCGGCCCGTTCCGTTTCTACGCGACCCTCAGCAATTTTTGCGCGATGAAGCTCTTCTGAACAATCCACGGTGATCACTGCGTGCCCTGAACCGGAATTCTCAACCGTAAAGTCGCGACTCCACTCAGACCAATCGCTATCATCGGAAGTATGCCCATAATAGCTGGAGCTGAATGAATTCCCGTTTCTGCTGTCCAAGTCAGGCAATTGAAAAGGGAACGGAGACACTGCATTCGTCCCTAAAACATTTGTTGTTACTCTTACTGATCATTTTTTAATTTTATTTTTCTTTCTTCACTTACTCTTATGAGCATAATTTTCAATTAATAATAATTATTATTGTTATTCATTATTGTTGTTGATTATTCATTATTATTATTGGTATTATTATTATTGCTCTTGTTATTATCATTATTATTGATGTAACTATTACTGTCATTATTATTGGGATTATTATTATTGTTATTATTATCACTTTTATTATTGCTTAATTATTTATTGTCATTGGTATTGCTATTATTAAAATTCCTCATTAGTATTTATTAGATATTAATAGCAATTTAATGTTTGCTCGCTTGTTCTGCTCACTGCTGATTATGATATTATGTGGAGTGGCGTGAGTGGGTGAATATCACCAGTAACGCAACCAAAAGCGATCAGAACAAGTAAGTAAGCAGAGATCAAATGTTTTGAGATGAGATGTTCGAGGGAGCTGGAGTTACGATCGACTGAGGACATTGGATGCATTGTTTTTCGATGATTCCGAAGAGGTTTACTAACCGTCAGCGAGGAGAATGATCGCAATACAACCCAAAAGAATACACTTCATTTCGGTTTGCTTCAGTGACAACTCTGCAATATGATGAGCATTGATTGCTTTGCATTTATGACAATGTTATTATTCAGTTATGAATCACATCCACCGCTCACTGATTAACGAATGTGCATTCAGATTGAAAACTTCGAACATTCGATTGGACAGCAAAGCAACTAAAGAGCCTTCTTTGATTTGTTCTGTATTCGAAAGGTGCGAATTGTGATCAATTAAACGACAACACTAAAATTATTAGTGGAAAAGCAGAAATTTATCGATGGACAACCGAAAAAACTTTGGAGTGGCTCAAATCCAGTTCCGGTCTTAGATTTAGATTAACTTTCCACTGAACGCCTGTATTTGGTCTTGTACTCAATGTAGCAGTTCCAGTGAAACTCATTTCATATGGATGCTTATCAATCCAGCAAAATTGAACTCTTCCGAAGTACATGTCAACGACACTTTACAGGAGACCAAAAGCAAACCCATTTGCTATAGTCCATTTTCTCCGATCTATATTATAAGAGTCCCGTTTTCATTGATGCGATATCTCTTATTATACTGCTAAACGCATGGAGCTTTTAAGAAGAAGCTTATGGTGAAGTTAAGGAATACTCTTGGACAATGTACATGCAAGATGTATGTAATAGTTGAAGATTTTAAATGTTCTAATAAACAAAAATAATGTATTATAAATAAAGCCCACAGCACCTGTGCCAGGTGAGACGTTTCTGAAAACGATTGAACGTCAATTGCGGGATCTTATATACGGGTTTGACGGGCACGGCTGCTTGGCTGTTAAAAGCGCGAATGATGAATTCGCGTAGTTGTTGTTGCTGAGGTCGGGTCACGTTATGCGCATGCTTTGGAATATAAATAAACCATTTGCGGTGGTTATTTTTGAAAATTTCGAGCAAGTTTTTTCCAGAATTTTGATTGCTCGCATAAATCATAATAATTTTGTTCACTCCTTGACGTCATTCACCATTTATAAAAGCCATTTAATTTTGGCTCATCATCGTTTCTTTTGGATGATCGTGAATGACATGATGGATTCGGAGATATTCTAATGCAAATTATAATAAAAGTGAAGCTGACAAATAAACAGAGCAATAGGAGAGTGTAGAAGAAATTTATGAATTTTTAATTTGTCGGTGTTTTAGCTTTTTNTTTTTGGTATTTTTTGGTAAACTGAACCGTTTGTAATTGATGCTTTATATTCCGTATGATCATTTTTGGAAATGTGCATTATTTTCGAGAATATTCATATTCCAGAAACGTTTTGAAACATTTATTTGTTGAGTTGTTAAAATGCATTTAGGGGAAAAATGAAGAAATTGCATTGCATTGCATTCGTTAATAATCACTTTTGCAACAAAAGTGAGAAAGAGTGAAAATTATTTAATAACGCTTTCTTTATTTGCAGTATCACGCAGAAGACATGCAATGAGAATCCATCGTAAAATCACTCAAAAGTGAAATGAAATAATACGCACTGACTTTATAATAATACTAATAATAACATTAATAATCATGCTAAAATTACCGAAATGAACAGCAATAATGATATTTAACAAAATAATGTAGATAACAATTAATGATAATAACGATTCAAATAATTGAAAAACGGACTCCACTGCTGCCCTGTGGGCTAATATAGCTGCGCTCAATTCTGCCCGTATCAGGGGGTTCTTCCATGCGATATTTCGGAAATCTGACCGTGTAATTGTAGCATAAATATAATACGATCAATAATATAGCAGTCAATAGAAGCATCGAGAATAATATCAATAAGGTATCACTGAAATACGACAACATCATTAGAAAAGTCACCTTTCAACGAGCCTCTAAACTGACACCAGTTTCAACAGATTCATTCACTTCCCTCATCCGTCACATCCTCACTAGCTGCATATGCCTAAGCCTATATCTCAAAGATGATGCTGAACATTAGACAGGACTATGTGGAAGTGTTCCATAGATTGCTGAGAAGGTTTTCGAATTGCTTTCGTTGATGACTCTGTTCGTGTGAATGCTGAGCGATTCTTTTGACGTTGGAAGTTGTCGTCAGAAGGTAAAATTTTAGTAAATGATAGCTGAAAAATCGTCTAAAAAAATCTCATATTGTACAGTTCAGTGCTATTAAATGGCCGTATGAATGATGCTTTCAGTTTGAGGAAAGAAAGATTCCAAAGTTATAATACAGTTGAAAACGGCATTATCTTACATCAAATAAGTTTCATTCCAATTGATCAGCAACATTTTCGATCACATATGGCGATACACACAAACGTTTGTGAATTCAGTCGATCAGTGGATTTCGTTTAGGAATGACTTGATGACGCGAGCAATCACACTATCTATATGCACACATCATAGTATGCTAGTTGTTGAATATGATCTGCAAATTGAAAATGATGAATAGAAAAAGCCTAAGCCGAGCGAATTTTATGACAAATGAAACTATCAAATATTGGAATTGGAAAATTAATTGGAAAAAATTGCAATAGAAAGAACTGGAAAAAATAATTGGAGAAATAATTGGAAAACTGAAAAAAAATTGTTTACATATTCATAGAAAAAGTGGTATAAATTGCTCTTGAAGGCGGTGGAAATGTGAAAATTTTGATAAAAGAATGCACGACGTTATCATATTTATGCGCACAAGCATCATTTGAAGCATTGAGAATTTGTGAAGTTTTAGCACTAAACGCGAGTGTGTTCGAATCATATTCACTTATAACGGGCATCAATTTAGGCCTGAGCTTGCTCTACTAGTGTTTATCTGTCATCTTGTCGGCTTTTCCCAAGCAAAAACTGCTTCATTGAAAGCTACATAGATCATTCATTCATTCTCCATAAATCGAATCAGCAAATGATTAAGTCGTACTCGCATGCAAGAGCATTAGATTCGCAATAATCTAGAATACACTCATGTATAGCGTTAAACTCGTATGAGATTTACACGTTGTCATCGAATTTGATGAGGCAATCGAGTGAAGAGATATGAGTTGTAGGATTGAGATTTGTTCATGAGAGGATGATGACAAAATTGAAGTGAATGGAAAACTGTGCAGGATAATCGCAGATGTTACACGCTCGGTGAACGAAGACGAGATTCGAATGCGTTTAAGGCACTAGCCGTAATACGCAACAGCACAACATGGTTGTGAAATAAATCAAAACATTTCACGACTGAAATCAAAATTTACCGAATTACCCAGCAAAAATTTTATGATTGGCCTAATTGCGAGTCGGGAATGTAGGTACATTACGAAGTGTTTTATCTATGCCATAAGATGTTGAATATAACTCATTTTTCGTACATTCGATCACATATATTCAGCTATTTATTCACATCAGTCACGCACATGTTCAGTCCATATGTAGGAGCTCCGTATTCCGTCGTTGTGTTCTCATGAAGGAGCCTCAGGGAATATTTGATGTGAGATGTTTTATGGCATACAAGGTTTTTATGCGAGCCACATCTAAAAAATTGCATCTATAAGCTCAATTTTATGGCCTTTAAGAACAAGATGTGAGTACCCTCTTGAAACATATTCCTTCTGCAATAGACAACTGAAAATAATTGTTCCAATTGAGGGAATTAACTTCTTTCATGACCGATTCTCGACTTATTTCTGACGTTATGTGTGGAAATAGCAAGTTATTTTGGTGGAAATTGCGAATTGCGAAACCATCGAAGAGGGCAATGGAGCTTGCGAGCGTGATAAACACTCAAATATGCGATACCATGATAGAAGAGTTTATTAACCACAACCATAAAAACTAACTGTTAATTCAAAACATCCAAGTGTGTATATGAGAATTCGAAATGAAACATCCATCGAAAAGCAAAACAGCTTACTGATAATTATAATATCGTCAACAACAAAAACAATAATAATTACACCGATAAGGTTAATATCAATGGTAATGACGACATTAACATCATTAATGACAGTGATTAAATCACGACTCATAACAATATTACTAGTGCTCGCAATAATAATGAAAATAGTAATTGTTTCAATATCGATGTAAAAACATCGATACTCATAAGCAGAACGAGTCAAAATTTAACAACATGTTAAAACTTTACACATCCCTCATTCTCTAAAGACAAAAACGAGGGTTTCACGACAATTAATATAATAAATAAGCCATTGCACTGTACATCACAAAACAATTAGCATCTTCGCATCAAAAATTTTTAGTATTTTTTTGGATCACAATCTTCTTTCCACATTCTCGTTCCTCTAGGCGATATTGAGTTCTTCTTTCCGCTCGCATCATCCAGTTTTCATCACTTTACTTCCGGTTGATATCAAGTACGTCTGAAAATTTTCTCTGCGGTTTCATCTGGATATTTTTCAACGTCTCCGCGTTATTTAAACTATGCTGTACAACTGAAGTATTTGTCTTCTCAGGTTTGTCCGGAAACGTGTGAATTTCTTTCCACCGTTCGATCCAGCAGAACCTCTAGATTCAGAATATTATAAATTTTACTGAGCAATTTGGCTTGGTTGAGGAGATATAGGCATTTTGTTAATAATATCTCGGGTGCCACCTTCAAGGCTACCGTAAGCTCAAGTTTGCCCAGTAACATATAAATTTTTTTGCATCAGTCCATCCAGCTGGATCTCGTCATTCAGAACAGTATATATGTTATCGAGCGATTTTGCTTTCCTGAGCAGATATAGCCATTTTCATAGACCTATCTCAATTAGATGGCGCAGTCGCGCTCATTCACACAAAGTGATCACTATAGAGCAATCAATACGTTCATATAGCAATAGACGGATTGCGATGCTCGAGCTAATCATCTTCTCAGGTTTGCCCGGAAACGTGCGAATTTCTGTTCACTGTTCGATCCAGCAGAACCTCTAGATTCAGAATATTATAAATGGATTTTGTTGGATTTTGAATAAACGGTGGATCAGTGGATTTTGTTTAAGAATCAAGGACATCTACTTCAGAGCATGGATTGCTGATACGTGACCAATAAGAGAGTG